GGGAGACTGAGGCAGGAGACTCACTTGAGCCCAGGAGTTGGAGGTTGCTATGAGCTGTGATGCCATGGCACTCTACCGAAGGTGACAGCTTGAGGCTCTGTCTCAAAAAAAAAAAAAATTAAGAACAAACATGACCTTTGACCTATTATTTCTATTGCTAGGCATTTACTCTATTGTTATTTTACCTCAAGTATGTAAACAAACAAAGATATTTGTAGGCCCAGGGAGGTAGCCCTGGGTGGAGTCCTCTAGCATCATCATAGCTCACAGCAACCTTAGTCTCTTGGGCTCAAGAGCCTCTTGCCTCAGCCTCAGGAGTAGCTGGGACTGCAGGCACCTGCCACCACGCCTGGCTAGTTTTTTATGTTTTTAGTAGCGACAGGATCTCAACTCTTGCTTGCTCAGGCTGGTCTCAAACTCCTAAGCTCAAGCAATCCACCCACCTCAGCCTCCCAGAGTGTGGGGGTTTATAGGCATGAGCCACCGTGCCTGGCCTTTTCTTTCTTTCTTTTTTTAAGATGTGATATAGTACAGCACATTTATAAACTATTAAGAATTGATCCAGGGGCGGCGCCTGTGGCTCAGTGGGCAGGGCGCCAGCCCCATATACCAAGGGTGGTGAGTTGAAACCCAGCCCCGGCCAAACTGTAACAAAAAAATAGACAGGCATTGTGGCGGGCACCTGTAGTCCCAGCTACTCGGGAGGCTGAGGCAAGAGAATCGCCTAAGCCCAGGAGTTGGGGGTTGCTGTGAGCTGTGTGACACCAAGGCACTCTATCATGAATGATAAAGTGAAACTCTGTCTCCACAAAAAAAAAAAAAAAAGAATTGATCCAGTAGGGTAGGAAAAGATGATGCGAGAGGAAGTCTTTAAGTAGGTGGGAGGGGATAGGATCCAGTGAAAGAACTTCTTAGTGAGGGAGAATTTGCAAAGAGGTGTTGGACTTTGAGAAGAGAGGGAAAGTTGTGAAATAATCATCTGAAAGAACTGGCAGGGAAATCAAGAGAATTGGCAGGCATTGCCAACGTCCCCTTGGGGGTTGCAGTTAGAGATTTAAAGTGAGAGAAGTCAATATAGCTGTGCGTTTTCCTCCAGCCAGATCCAGCTTCCCAGCATGGTATACAATAGAGGGTTTTATCAGCCAGTTACTACAGATGAAATGCTGGCTTTAACCAGGGTTAGGATTTTGCCAGACAACTTGGACTGAGAAAGACAGAATCAAGGCAGTTGATCAACTGATGAGCTTCAGAGGCTAAGCTGAGGAAGAAAGAAAATGAGAATACAAGGATGGATAATGGAAGATGTGAGAGCACATGTGGGAATAATGCTCAGGCAGACATGACACAACTGGTCTGACCGGTTTAGGTGCTCTGTGACCTTTACCTCCTGTCTCTCATTCTTACTGTTTTGTAAATTTAGCTCCCACTTTAAAGATGCCCATCTTGAATAGTTTAGGAAAATTGATTTAGGAAATGTTATAATAGGTTACTGAGTTACGCTGATTATTACTTAAAATAAGGGTTATTGTGGTCTTTCCTTTAGGAGTATTGATATAGGAAATTAACTTTTAGGTTTTAGGAATTAGAAATGTTGAGGCCAAGGCAGGTGGATTGCCTGAGCTCACAGGTTCAAGACCAGCCTAAGCAAAAACAAGACACCCCCCCAACCCGTCTCGAAAAACAGCTGTGTGTTGTGGCAGGCGCCTGAAGTCCCAGATACTTTGGAGGCAAGAGAATTGTTTGAGCCCAAGAGTTTGAGGTTGCTGTGAGCTATGATGCTACAGCACTCTTCAGATGGCAACAAAGTAAGACAGTCTCAATAAAAAAATGAACATACGGCTCCATGCCTGTGGCTCAAGCGGCTAGGGCGCCAGCCACGTACACCTAAGGTGGCGGGTTCGAATCCAGCCCGG